GCATAGGGTGTCCAGCACTGTAGCTTGCTGGTCGTTGAGTGGAGTTGGGTCTTCATGTTGAGATGGAGATCTCTGAAGGAGCTCTCACCATTTGATATTGTGTGGCTCTGGGAGGTCCCTGGTGGTCCAATGTCCTGAACTCAGCTCTCCCACCTCAGAGGATTAGGCCTGACACCTGCTGGAGCACCTAGAGTCTGTCAGCCAAATGGATCTGAAGAAAAGGGAGGAAAAAAGAGAAAGAAAGAAAAATAAAATAAAGTTATTATAATAAAAAATAAAATATATATTATTAAAAATAAAAAGTAATTAATAAAAGAAAGAAAGAAGAGAGCAACCAAACTGAAAAGCAAATCCACCAATGATAACAAGTGCTAAAAACTATACTAAAAAAAAACCCAAAAATCCGACAGAAAGAACCCTAGGACAAATGCTAAAAGCAAAGCTATACAGAAAAAAATCACACAAAGAAGCATACACACTCACAAAGGGTGAGCAACGGAAATATATATATATATATGTATATATAAAGAAAGGGAGAGAGCAACAAAATCAATAAACAAATCTACCTATGATAATAAGCTCTAAATACTAAACTAAGATAAACATAAAACCAGAAACAAATTAGGTGCAGAAAACAAACCACAAGTCTATAGTTGCTCCCGAAGTCACCGCCTCAATTTTGGGATGATTCGTTGCCTATTCAGGTATTCCAGAGGTGCAGGGTACATTAATTTGATTGTAGAGATTTAATCCGCTGCTCCTGTGGCTGCATGGAGAGATATCCCTTTCTCTTCTTTGTTCGCACAGCTCCTGGGGTTCAGCTTTGGATTTTGCCTCACCTTTACATGTAGGTCGCCTGAGGCATCTGTTCCCCGCCCCGACAGGACAGGGTTAAAGTAGCTGCTGATTTGGGGACTCTGGCTCACTCAGGCCAGGGGGAGGGAGGGGTACGGAATGCAGGGCAAGCCTGCAGCGGCGGAGGCCCACATGACATCGCAACAGCCTGAGGCGTGCCGTGTGTTCTCCCGGGGAAGTTTTCCCTGGATCACAGGACCCTGGCAGTGGCGGGCTGTACAGGCTTCCAGGAGGGGAGATGTGGATAGTGACCTGTGCTTGCACACAGTCTTCTTGGTGGCTGCAGTAGCAGCCTTAGCATTTCATGCCTGTCTCTGGGTTATGTGCTGGTAGCCGTGGCTCACGCCCATCTCTGGAGCTTGTTTAAGTGGTACTCTGAATCCCCTCTCTTCGCACACCCCAAAACAATGGTCTTTTGCCTCTTAGGCAATTCCAGACTTTTTCCCAGACTCCCTCCTGGCTAGCTGTGGTGCACTAGCCCCCTTCAGGCTGTGTTCACGCAGCCAACCCCAGTCCTCTCCTTGGGTTCTGAATTCCGAAGCCCGAGCCTCAGCCTCCAGCCCCCACCCGCCCCAGCAGGTGAGCAGACAAGCCTCTAAGGCTGGTGAGTCCTGGTCAGCAGTGATTCTCTGTTGCGGGAATCTCTCCGCTTTGCCCTCAGCACCCCTGTTGCTGTGCTCTCCTCCATGTCTCCGAAGCTTCCCCCCCGCCCACCCCCTATCTCTGCCGGTGAAGTGGCTTCCTAGTGTGTGGAAACTATTCCTCCTTCACAGCTCCCTCCCAGAGGTGCAGGTCCCATCACTATTCTTTTGTCTCTGTTTTTTCTTTTTTCTTTTGCCCTACCCAAGTATGTGGGGAGTTTCTTGCCTTTTGGGAAGTCTGAGGTCTTCTGCCAGCGTTCAGTAGGTGTTCTGTAGGAGCTGTTCCTCATGTAGATGTATTTTTGATGTACTTGTGGGGAGGAAGGTGATCTCCATGTCTTACTCCTCTGCCGTCTTGAAGCTATCCACATGTGTCTTTTGGAATTATGGTTTTCTCTGGGTATATGCCCAGTAGAGGGATTGCTGGGTCCATCCTTTATAAATATGTTCTTTCTGATACTAACAGTCCTCTGAAATGAATAACAGAGTACTGCTTTATAAATACTAATTACTGGCAGAAGGAACATAGGCTGTATTTTATTATTTAATTACAAGAGGCAATGTGTCCCCCTCTCTGCCTTATTAAATGATGACTTTACTCTTACTCCCAGATAAGAATTATTACTATAAGCATGATACATTAAGCCCAAAATATAATGAGCTGTGTCTGCTTGATTTGTAATACATCATTTGCCATAACATATGCTATTCTTACTACTCATTTTCTTCTCCCCATTTTTCAGAACAAATACAGTCAATTCATATTAGGCATTAGCCTTACTTATTTTTGGCCTTTATCTCTTCTAATTTTGGCCTCTGGTAAACTAGTTTCAATAAACTTTCTGAGATCAGCTTCATGAACCAGGAGGCCTAGACCGGGTCAATATGATTCCAGTTATCTGAATCAAAAGTGGAAAAAGTCAGTCAGGTGCTTATCCTGCATACTGCCAAACATCTGGTTGTATTTGGAAACATTCATTAACAAAACATGTGAACGATTGACAACATTTCTCACTTCTTATGTATCTGTCTGTTGGAGTATAAAGACAACCTTGATAAGTTACTACAGAAGAGAAAAAAAAGTGTAGTAAGGTTATTATAGTTTCTAGAAACTATAGCGTGATGTTATCAGCATGAAAATGCTAAATTTATTTTTTATTGTAACATGTTGAATTTTCCTTTCTAAAGAATCTAATATGACTGCCTTGTTGAATGTCAGAATGATCTATTTTGGGGGGTAGCTAAAAACTATTTTGAGTAGAAACCTAGAGATATAAAATTAAATTAGGCAAGGCAACACTCCATGGCCCTATATATTAATGCTGGCAGAAGGTAAATCTGCACTGCTGATGGAAGCTGGATCATTATATGTGCTCTTTCTTGAGTCTTTTGCTGTATGAGATGAATGAATAGTTAATAAAATAAAAATTAATTTATTTAGAATTGAAAAGTATTTGGAACTCTGATTATGACATTACAGTCAAGTTGTAAAGTGAAAAAAACCATACTTTCTTAAAGATGAGTAAGGCCAGACACTATAAAACTCTTGGAGGAAAACATAGGCAGAACACTCTTTGACATAAATCTTAGCAAGATCTTTTTTGACCCACCTCCTAGAGTAATAAGAATAAAAACAAAGATAAACAAATGGGACATAGTTAAACTTAAAAGTTTTTGCACAACAAAGGAAACCATAAACAAAACGAAAAGACAGCCCAAAGAATAAGAGAAAATATTTCCGAATGAAGCAACTGACAAAGGATTAATCTCCAAAATATACAAACAGCTCATGAAGCTCAGTATCAATAAAAATAAACAACCCAGTCCAAAAATGGGCAGAAGACCTAAATAGACATTTCTCCAAAGAAGACATACAAATGGCCGACGCACACACAAAAAGATGCTCAACATCACTAATTATTAGAGAAATGCAAATCAAAACTACAATGAGGTACCACCTGACACCTGTCAGAATGTCCATCATCAAAAAATCTACAAACAATAAATGCTGGAGAGGGTGTGGAGAAAAGGGAATCTTCATGCATTATTAGTGGGAATGTAAATTGATAGAGCCACTATGGAGAACAGTATTCAGATTCCTTAAAAACCTAAATATGGAATTACCATATGACCCAGCAATCCCACTACTGGGAATATACCCAGAGAAAACCATAATTCAAAAGACACATGCACCCCATTGTTCATTGTAGTACTATTTAAAATAGCCAGGACATGGAAGCAACCTAAATGTCCATCAACAGAGGAATGGATAAAGAAGATGTGGTACATATATAAAACAGAATATTAGTCATAAAAAGGAGCGAAATTGGTCATTTGTGCAGACGTGGATGGACCTAGAGTCTGTCATACAGAGTGAAGTAAGTCAGAAAGAGAAAAACAAATATTGTATATTAACACACATATGTGGAATCTGAAAAAAATTGGTACAGGCGATCTTATTTACAAAGCAGAAATAGAGACACAGACATAGAGAACAAACATATAGATGCCAAGGACAAAAGGGGGGGTGGGATGAATTGGGAGATTGGGATTGACATATATACACTATTGATACTATGTATAAAATAACTAATGAGAACCTACTGTATAGCACAGGGAACTCTACTCAGTGCTCTGTGGTGACCTAAATGAGAAGGTAATCCAAAAAAGAGGGGGTCTTCCCTGGTGGCGCAGTGGTTGAGAGTCCACCTGCCGATGCAGAGGACACAGGTTCGTGCCCCAGTCTGGGAGGATCCCACATGCCGCGGAGCGGCTGGGCCTGTGAGCCATGGCCGCTGAGCCTGCGCGTCCAGAGCCTGTGCTCCGCAACGGGAGAGGCCACGGCAGTGAGAGGCCTGCGTACCGCAAAAAAAAAAAAAAAAAAAAGAGGGGCTATATGTATACATATAGCAGATTCACTTTGCTGTACAGTATAAACTAACACAATATTGCATCTATACTCCAATAAAAATTTTTTTTAAATAAAGAAGGAATACTTTAGACTCCTGAGAGGTTTTTAGTGATGTGTATGTGTGTTACAACTTTTGAAAATCTAGTATTAGCTTTAGAAAGGGTGAGTGAGTGAGAAGTTTGAACTTGGTATAAAAAGTAATATGAAAACATAGAAAGAACATTAAATTAGAAGGTGGGAGACCTACAGTCTGATTAAAGATATCCTTTGACTTGATGTAAAGTTCTTAGAAAAGTCATTTTCCATCTCTGGGATACAGATTCCTCAATAATAAATGAGGGTGTTTTATTATATGATCTCCAGAATCTGTTGTTATACTAAAATTCAAGGATATATTCAAAAATTATGGTTAAGTAGTTCTAATGTTATACTATAAGTAATAATGAAATACAATCTATTTATGAAAATCAGATTTTATAAGCTAGTTTTTTAAGAAAATATCTCTTTGTGAAGAATGACATTTTCCCATGAATTAATAACTCAAAAAATGTATGATTCAGAATTCTACCAAAGTATTGCATTGTATCTTTAAGGTTCAAGAGAGATCTATTTCTATGCCTTACAACCAGGATCGTGTACATCGTGTCAAGTTCTCTTCAAGGTATGTGTCTCTGATTTCTATATTCAGATTACTCTGATTTACTGTCATATGGGAAATTAAAGCTTATTTATTTGATACTAAGTTCTGTGTGAATTCAAAACTAAAATATTAATGACAACATAGTCATCAATGATATCACCGGCCCATATTTAAAACCTTAAAACTGCAACAATCCATTAACTAGATCTTTCACCTTTAGACATACTGCAATCTCAATGTTATTTAGTTTGATGATTAGCTGGTAACATTCACAATTTAATAACACAAACAGCAGTGAATTCTTGGACAGCGTTCAATTAGTAATTTACAATAAAAAGATGTGAAATTTCATGTGTATCATGTACACTTCAATTACATGATATTTGTGATGTACTACATGGTAAAACACACACACAATCGCTAACCTCAGAACCTAATGCCACAGAATGGGCAAGCCTAAAATAAACTATAGGGAAAATCAAATCTAAAACTCAATATTATAGCAATATTTTATACCAGTCACTGTAATTTTTAACTCTGTAATATTGATAATCTTCAGTAATTTTCAAAGATCATGTTTCATATTTTAGATGTATGCAATGTGTTATATTTGTTTTTTTTTACATCTTTATTGGAGTATAATTGGTTTACAATGGTGTGTTAGTTTCTGCTTTATAACAAAGTGAATCAGTTATACATATACATATGTTCCCATCTTATCTCTTCCCTCTTGCATCTCCCTCCCTCCCACCCTCCCTATCCCACCCCTCTAGGTGGTCACAAAGCACCAAGGTGATCTCCCTGTGCTATGCGGCTGCTTCCCACTAGCTATCTACTTTACGTTTGGTAGTGTATATATGTCCATGCCACTCTCTCGCTTTGTCACAGCTTACCCTTCCCCCTCCGCATATCCTCAAGTCCATTCTCTAGTAGGTCTGTGTCTTTATTCCTGTCTTACCCCTAGGTTCTTCATGACATATTTTTTGAATGCTAAATTTTAATTTAGATGTTCCTTGAAAATCATACCCCTTCCAACTCCAACTCATAGTGGAGAGAACTTAACCTATATTCATTCACTCAGTCATTCAGTAAATACTTATTGAGTACTTACTGTATTCAAGATTCTGGACAGTATGGTCAGACGGCATAGAGCTGATAGTATTTAGCATGTATATTCTTATCTTATTATTCTTTAAAACCCCCATGTATTTGTGTCCTTAGATTTAACTGGTGTGCAGAAATTTTGAAAAATTTTAAAGCAAGATTGGGAACTTTCTCTTACTATGCATTCAATGAATGAGTTGTCATGATCCTTCTGACAACAAAGGGGGAGAAATCAGTTTAGTTTTGTGTATCTGTTTTGGTATCATGGGGTATGATATAAAATCAATATAACTGTTAAGCATGGGGTATATAAAAATCAATATTGCTACTAAACTGGAATTGGTTGTTCTTATTACAAAAAAGGGTTTTGAATTTATGAATTGCATATATATTTACTTTAAATATGGTTATATTTATGAAATCAATTTAACTGAAACTTAAGTCTTTCCTGAAATTTGGGGTCATAGAAAAGACCAAAGTCCTTCCTGTATAGAAATTCCAAAGCAGCTATAAATTTAGCAGAACTGGTCCAAAGAAACTTTCTAAATATTCCCTGAATTTGAATAGTGAAAACTAAAGTGTCCTATCTATTTATCCATGTATCTAAATTAGGAACAGGACATTAAAAACACAAATTCCAAGCATTTGAAATCAGGATTATAATAGTGGAATATTTAACATAAAAATAACTTAGTTTTTATCATGTTAAAATACTCACATACACTATAAATTTATGTTTCTTGCTGTTTTACCCAGGTAGCAATAATGTCTGAATATTAGCTTAAAGAAAGTTCATAGAAATTTTTAGAAATAAATATATATATGAAGGAAACATACTTGTATAAAGACAATTTTTTATATTCTGGAAATTGTTTCTCTCTTCTAGATAAAAGAGCAGATCTGGGGAAATTGGAAAATATTACTTAAGCTCTACTTCTTTTTAGTTTGATATATACCCATATACTTAAAACTTTTGTTGGTCTTGATGTGGAGTTGTACATTCCCTTTATGAATGTTAGGATGTGACACATGCTTTTCTGTCTTTTCATTAGTGTTCCTCAGCGGTCTCTTTTGGAACAAGCTCAGAAGCCCATTGACATCAGACAAAGAAGTTCGCAAAATCCTCAAAATTGCCCAGCAGCATCAGGTGATTCAAAGCACAAAGTTTAAACAGTCAAAACGGAGTTAATGTTTAATAGTTTATTTTGCAAAAGTTAAGAAAGAATTTCAAGAAGGAATGAATCAATAGTGTCAGGGAAGCCAAGTAAGATTAAGACCAGGAGGCCATTGGATTTGGCAATTAGGTGATCAGTGATGACCTTTGAGAAATGGAAAGTAATTTTTCTGAAGTTTCTTCTTTCAGTTGGGTAGTAGTTAAGAATGTGTCTAGGGAGGCGGGAGGGGGGGTCAGCTTTAGTTTCTAAACCATGTGTGAAAAATATGGAAAAGGAATTTGAGAGAGGCTTCTACAACGGGCTAAAATTTATAGGCAATCTTTAGAATATTGAAATATTAAATGGAGTAGTTGCGGGCATGTGTTTTATTTATCAGTTTGTTATTTCACCTCCCCAAAGTAAGATATATACAGTATCTCTTAAATGTTAAAAATTAATGTAATTACTCAAAATGAAAAATTAATCCATAAAATCATAGAAAATAACTTTACAAACTGTGATATGAATTTCAAATAAGTATTTTATTTTATGATGTACTTTTGAGAGAGTTTAAATGAATTATAGATTTGTGACATATCAGATAAACAAAGTGAAAAGTTATGCCTTGGGTCATAAAATCTTGCACTATCTACTTTTAAGCAATTCAAGTAAGTTAAGTAAGGGAAAAATGCCTGACTGAGTCCCCAAGTCGTCTGTAAAATATAGCATATAGATTTTATTAAAATGTCAATAATTAAATGGATATATAGGTACACTGTATGAAAATCATATAGTCAAAGACCTGAATTTTAAAACCCTATTCTTCTTCTTAGGAGACTCAGATAATGGCATAATTCTTTTCAATGGTAGTGTCCCCTTGTGCAGAAATATTATCTTGTGAGAAATAAGATAAGCCTGTGTGAAGAGAAACTTTAGGACTTTTTTCCCCAGAATCTTTCTGGTTTGACTAGGGTTAATTTTGCTAATACCGAAGAAACAGCTAAAACTTTAAGGTTTATTCATATTGTATATTTTGAAATAAGGAAACTCTGGAATAGGCCCCAAAACTTTTATGAACAGTGGTGGGAGGGAGAAAGGGAGAGTATCTGGGTAGATAATAGCTAAAGTTCTTTTTAGCTCTAAAATTCTGTTATTTTATTGTGTGTGCTACATAGATGATTTGAAGTTCCCATGAGACTCAATACTTCATGATACAGGAAATCAGAACACCTTACTACAAATTTGCCTCAAAATCTCAGATATTCACCCAAACTTCTTACTTAGCCTAATGATACACCAAAAGACCTGAGAGAAAATAGTTTCCTACGGAAAGATAATAAATTGCAAAAGTACAACAGTGTCAGAAGATGTGAACATAAAGTGTAAGATGTGTTCAGTACAATATTCTCAAAAGATAGAAATGTTTTCAAATACATGCTTTTTCGAGTTCTAGTGTCAATATTTTGGCTATGTATCAAGGCTGCAAATAAAAGAGGGATAGTACTATTTATCTTCAAATTCCAAGCACACAAAAACCATAAAAAGGGACTTGAGGGTCCCCTTAGTGAAGCTTTTTCTAAGTACACTCACCCAGATCTACTGATATTTGAGCCTAAATATTCTCACTCTATTTTAACCACAGATGTTATTTACTATACCACAAATCTTAATATCAAAAATCCAGTCTTCTGGGCTTCCCTGGTGGCGCAGTGGTTGAGAGTCTGCCTGCCAATGCAGGGGACACGGGTTCGTGCCCCTATCCGGGAAGATCCCACATGCCGTGGGAGCGGCTTGGCCCGTGAGCCATGGATGCTGAGCCTGTGCGTCCGGAGCCTGCGCTCCGCAACGGGAGAGGCCACAACAGTGAGAGGCCTGTGTACCGCAAAAAAAAAAAAAATCCAGACTTCTAATCCAGACAAATTTGCATTTTAAATGGAAATATTTACACTATAGAAATGAGCTGTGCATTGTGATACAACTAGCAAAATGTGGCTATTAAAATTAAAACTAAAATGAAAATGAAGTTAAATTTTAAATTCAACCTCTCAGACACACTGGCCATATTTCAAATGCTCAATAGCCATGTGTGGATAGTGGCTACTGTATTGGACAATGCAGATACAGAACATTTCTATTACTGCAGAAAGTTCTATTGCAGAGAGCTTCTACAGAAGGGTTCCTGGCTTTATAAAAAAGGCTAAGATTTGCCACTTTTCAGTTGTTCACTTCTCAACTGTATTGAGATATATTGAAGATATATCATTGAGTAGAAATTGGGAGATTACGATTCAAGAGCCAACTCTCCTCTTGAAAGTTTTGTCTAATCCATCATCTTCTAGTATACTGTTGGGCTCTTTTTCTACTGGTTAGTATGGGAGGCCAGAAATACCACCCAGCCCTTCCTATTCTTGATACATTCTCTTTTTTTCATGGGACTATCTGTATACCAGTCTTATTGTGTACCTTGTTACACAGATAGAGAGAAATACCTAGCAAGTGTACACTTAATACTGAAAAAAAAAGCCATGCAGGTCTAACAGAACAAACCTTGAGCCTGTCACTGTCTGTGAAAACAGAACATAGGATCTTAGCCCCATAAGAATTTACCAAGTGATATCTCCAGAATGGAAAGGGGCTACAAGAAAAATACCAAGGGATTGAACTGGTGCACTATAAAAATGAAGTCAATGGCTGTGATCACAACTGTTACTAATGTCTTTTTGGCATTCCACAGAATCTTCTTCTGAGGAAGAGAGCCCTGTGACCAGGAGGAGGTCCCAGTCATCACCACCTTATTCTACTATTGATCAGAGGTTGCTGGTTGACATCCATGTAGGTTTCCATCTTAACTCTTAAAGCACTTATATCTGTTCTTTTTAAATTTCAATTTCTTTTAACTTACATATTTTCATCTTCATTCGAGGGAAAGGCTAAAGTGTTCAGTTTTTAAATTAATCTTTCAAATATATATTTCTATTGGTATGTCAGTATGCAGAATATGAAATCTAGAAATTAAATTTAATCGATGTAAAAACATTTAATGTAAAATGTTTTGTAATGTAGAATATAAAAACATTTAATCTATCATAAAATATTTTACTTTCACATTCTTGTGTCATAACATATTCGGGAGAGGAGTGATAAAAAGCTATTTGTAGAAGCTAATCTCAAATTAAGGAGTAAGGTTTAGATGCTCAGTTTTTGTCTAATATCATTTCGTGGATGATGAGGCAATGCATAAAGATAAAACATTTAGCAAAAAATAAAATGCCTTCTAATTTCATAAATAAAAAGGGCTTCTAATTATTTTTGCAGTGTGCTTTCAGATCATTCTGTTTTACTTTTGTAATTACCTCTACCCTACTACACATACACCCCTTTCAGATTGCTCAGAGGTTGCTTATAGGACACATACCATACTTAAAGGTGAATTTATATGAATTTACTTCTTAGAAGTGTTTACATTACTTTAATACAACCTATGTTGTATAAAACTAGAGCTGGGAAATTAACATATCAATTTTAAGAGCTAATCACAATATCAAAGGATAAAGCAAAAGGAAAAGAGTGACAGTCTTCTCTAGAATGTTAAATCATCTGTTCTCTTCTCCAGCACCAAAACCAAATGTCTAGTTCTCAGCAGATAAGTAGGACTAATATAAAACAAAGTGAGTAAATTTTGCCCTGTGTGATCCAGAAAGGCCATTAATGATCATAGCCTTAGGTTTGGGTTTTGGCAGCTCATCCTCACAAAAATGTTGGCTCTATATAGTGAGTGAACATCTTCATTTCAATTGAAAATACATTTTAAAATATTATCAGCCTGGAAGCTTTCCAGTCTAGAAGAAAATGAAAGGCTACTAGAGACTACATTAACCTTTCTTGTGCACACAGGTTCCAGATGGATTTAAAGTAGGAAAAATATCACCCCCCGTTTACTTGACAAATGAATGGGTAGGCTATAATGCACTCTCTGAAATCTTCCGGAATGATTGGTTAACTCCTGCACCTGTCATTCAGCCACCTGAAGAGGATGGTGATTATGTTGAACTCTATGATGCTGGTGCTGATACTGATGGTGATGATGATGATTCTAATGATGCTTATGAAGATACTTATGACCATGACAATGGCTGTGATGAGTTGGATAACCAGGTTGATCAGGCTAATGATGCTGGTGAAGACCAAGATGATGATGACAATGATGAGGTTGTTGATGACAAAGGCAATAATCGTGATGATGCTCCTAGTTGGCCAAGGTTGGTTTTTCTGGATTACTTGCATTATCCATATTTTATCATTTCAAAAGTATTTGCATCTTTGGTTTACTTTCAAAATTTATTACCAAGAGGGTGAATGAATTGCACTTGCATGTTGGTAAATGGTTGATTTTCAACAATAGATTTTAAATTATTTTAATGCAAAACACTTAATTTTGCATTTCTTGTAATACTATATTTTATTAGCATTCAACTATTTATTAAGTTCTTTATAACTGGAGCTGTCTGGGTGTTTCTGTTAAAATTAATGCTACTGAATCATTCTACCCTGTAAAACACAATGAGTGTGAGAAATGGGCTGACAAATTAAGTAGTGTGCCTATTAATAATTGTAAGTTGAAGCCCTGATGTTTGTGAACAAAATCTCTAAATTTGCTGAGAAAAATGAAGTGCAAACATGATACTCACTTGATAGTTTTAAGCTCCAACTTACTAACATAGCATTATCCTTGGGATTCTGAAAACTGCTGTAACTAAATTCAGTGCTCGTTCAATTTTATCTTCTTATAGAGTCGCTGCTCAAAGTGGTAATATTTAGTGAAGTAGTGGTTTTGGCATACCACCAGTATGCTATATATATATATAGTTACTTGTTCCTGCTCTATAAGCAGCCGGTGTGTTCTTATTTACATGTGCTTATGGTTTGTATTTAAACTGCTCTCAAAGGTGATTCATTAATATAGTATATTTTTAGAAAAATAATTAACAGTGGGAGAACTGTTTGCTTTATAATATTGAAATCCATATTTTATTTTGTTAATTTTCAAATGTTACTGGGGATATACATGACAGAACAGACTACAATTCATTCAACATTTTTTCTTTTTTGCCAACTAAAAAACTACCAGGAATTCCGTTCTCAAATTCATTTGCTTTTAGAATTATCATAGGTACATATTTATGTTGTCCCTTATGCAAAAGATCATTGAGACATTTTGCTAAGCTTGGTGTTCTTAGCAAATAATTAAGTGACTATCTTAACTTAATGAGATCTATATTACTGAACTTCCTGGTGATAATAGTAGAACAATCAATGGAAATCTGTTGCAAAGCAGACAATACACATGTTAGAAAATAAAGGCACATGTTTAAATTAACATAAATTACATATATTATAAGAATTATTTAAATATGTTGTGGTTGAACCAAAAATATGGGCTTGATCATTCATGTGGCTGTGAAGTTGCTAATGCATGAAGTAGTCTATGGTTTAAGAAAATAAAACATATTATTGCTACTAACCTAACACATGTTCCTAATAAAGGATGCAAGTTCTCTTCCATCTGCCATCCAAATGCAGCCAGGGAATTGACAGTGGCTATGGTGTTAATTTAATATTTAAGATTGACAAGACATAGGGACATTTTTCATATCTATATCATACCAGTAGTGTTCACATAGAACAAAAACATGCCTGGAGATAGTACATATGTGTAAGGCATACTAATTTTGTTTCATTTGTTGACTTTCAAATATGTTTTTGTTGGGTGGTTTTCTATCATTAATTGGATCTTGTTATCAGGCCAAGCTGTGGCAGAGGTGGAAGCTACAAGCAAGATGGTAAAGATGGAAGTGATGGAGGGGAAGGAACTTTCAGCAGCAATGGAAGCCAGAGAGCTAGTAGAAGCCACGGAGGAAGTACAGCCATTAGGGGCAGTGAAGCCATTGGAGACCATGAAGGACACAGAGCCAATACAGGCAGTGGAAGAAGAGGCAAAGAGAGTAATGGAAATGAGGGAGTCAGTGGAACCAATGAAGAGAGTGAAGCCCTTGAACTCAATGGAGAAGGAAATTGCTCAGAGATAGATGATCCAGTATTGGAGAGACCAGCATCCCAGGAATTTGAACATAAACCAGAGGTAATATGCCATTTGAAAAGGAGAATGAACTCTTCTCCTTGTGAATGCGTTTCTTCATGTGATATGTCATATTTCCAGCCATTACAAATATATTTTAAACTTCTATCCCAAAGCCTTAAAGACTTTTAATTATAGCTGTAGATAGATCTTTATTTCTTCTAATTTGGATGGTTCCTATTTTCTTCCAGGGACAAAAATATCTTATTTGTTTACCTTTATTACTCAGATCACATGCTTGGGATAGTGTCTCTTAACACATACATTTTTCTGGGAGGTTTTATTGTGATAAAATACACATAACATAAAATTTTATGTTTTAACCATTTTTTAAGTGTACAATTCAGTGGAATTAAGTACATTCACAATGTTTTACAACAATTACTACTATTCATTTCTGGAAATTTTTTATCATCTCAAACAAACAATTAACTCCCCATTATCCCTCCCCCCAGTCCCTAATAACCTCTATTCTACTTTCTGTGTAGGTACCTTATATAGGCAGAATCATACAATATTTGTCCTTTTGTGTCTGTCTATTTCACTTAGCATAATATTTTCAAGGTTCATGCATTTTGTAGCATGTATCAGAATTTCTTTCCTTTTTAAGGCTGAATAAGATTCTGTAGTATGAATATATCACATTTTGTTTATCCATTCATATGTTGATAGACACTTGGGTCGTTTTCACCTTTGGCTGCTGTGAACATTGGTATACAAATATCAGTTGTTGGAGTCCCTCTTTTTAATTCTTTGAGCTATATACCTAGGAGTGGAATTGTTATCTTCTATTTTAACTATTTGAGGAAGTGTTAACACATACAATTTAAAACAGAAGTAGTGTACTGTGTTTAGACAATTATTTTGTCATTCACAAAATATTTACAGACTTTATAAATATGTTTTAAAATACTCAAGTAGCTTCACATATGCTAGATAAATAGGAATTATCACAGAGATTTCCTGGAACACGTGGGTTTTGAACTAATTCTTGACAAATGGGGAGTATTGGATATCTGAAAACAGAGATGAGATTCCAGACAAAGGAAAAATCATGCCAATTTATTTTCCCAGCCTATTGTCCTATCATAACTAGCTTAGAAGACGCCGTGCTCTTTCATGAATTAGTGACCATGTTCAAGCACTTCCTTTTGTCTATAAGGCTTCCCCTTACCTCTTCTCTGCTTGTGAACTAGTCATCCTTCATGATCCAACTCATATATCATCTTTGACTTCCCAAGGCAGAATTACACACCCCTTCATCTGCACTTGCAAGCATTTTGCCCATCGTTTTATTTTAGTACTTATGACTTTGTAATTTATTTATTGTTTACTTGCTTTTCTATCACGATAGATTGTAAACTCTTAAAAGGCAGGAACTATTTTTAATCCATCCTTGATTACTTTTCTTTACCTACTCACGCAATCCCAGGGTCCAACCTAGGGCTTCGTCTATGGCAGGCATACAGTAATTATGGAAGAAATCAATGAAGGAAGGAAACAAAGAAAACAAGGAAGGAGGAAACTCCCTAGATGGTTTCCAATGGGAAAGCAACATCAGCGGGAAAGTATCTATGTCTGCCTCTCTATCTGTCTATCTATCTATCTACCTATCTATCTATCTGTCTATCTAGCTATCTTTCCATCCATCCATCCATCCTACCTACCTACTACCTACCTACCTAACTGCCTACCTACTTATCTTAATTAAAGACATTAAAAAAGGATGTCCCAGCACAGTTTTCATAGCACCCCTGGTTATCTCCAGTTATCTTAAGAAATGTTTTTGACGTTTACAGAGTAAATGGATCTTCTTTTTATTTTAATTTTTTTAGGATGAGATAATCTTTTATTTTTTTTAATTTAACATATTTATTGGAGTATAATTGCTTTACAATGGTGTGTTAGTTTCTGCTTTATAACAAAGTGAATCAGTTATATATATACATATGTTCCCATATCTCTTCCCTCTTGCGTCTCCCTCCCTCCCCCCTTCCCTATCCCATGCCTCTAGGTGGTCACAAAGCACCGAGCTGATCTCCCATTGCTATGCGGCAACAATTTTGTGGCAGGAAAGGTCATAAAAACAAGTCTTTGACAGGGCAGCACAGCTGTCTCAATCACTGTTTAGAAACAAAGAAATGCTTATCAGCAAACAGGCTTACCAAAAACTGTTGGTATGTTTTTCCACAGGATATGGCATCCCACATAAATTCTGTCACATTTCGTGACTTTTATCCTTGAATTTCTTCTCTGTAAGTTAATGGAATCTGGCTAAATTTTCACTGAAGCATGTTCACACTCTTGAATTTGTGTTAGTTGATTTTTCATCATTAGCTTTGTCATTTGACAAAGTGGAATTGAATCTACCATAGCATAGCTGAATGTAAGCTTTGGAATCAAACAGACTTTGGCTTCAAACTGATCCTCTTAATTATCTCTATGACCTTGAATAAATTATATAACTTCGCTAAGCTTTAGTTTCCTTGTAAGTAAAATGGAGATGATCTTACTTACTTTTTGGGTTGTTGCAAGGATTCACAACAATATGTAAATAAGATGCCTAGCAGGGTATCTAATGCATAGTAGAAACTCCACAAATTTTAGGTCCATAAATTATACAGCTAAGGAGTTCATGCTCCTTGAATTTCTACTTTGGCATCAGTTGTCTCAATATAGGTTAGCTAGTTTTGGTGTTTTTTTTCAGTACGTGGGCCTCTCACTATTGTGGCCTCTCCCATTGCGGAGCACAGGCTCTGGACGCGCAGGCTCAGCGGCCATGGCTCACGGGCCCAGCCGCTCCGCGGCATGTGGGATCTTCCAGGACTGGGGCATGAACCCGTGTCCCCTGCATCGGCAGGTGGACTCTCAACCACTGCGCCACCAGGGAAGCCCTGTTTCTTTTTTGATAACATTGTTGAGTTCTACTGGTAAATGTGGATTTTATAAGGATAAAGAATTATAAGATGTTACAAATTTTGTATTCTCTTTTTCAAATAACCACTAGGCATATCATATTTCTCTCACTGTTAATTTCCTAATAAAGTCAAAATAAATTTTTAATCATCTTTTAGGAGTCAGGTGGTAGAAGTGAAGCCTCAAATGCCGTTGCCTCAGGTGCTGCACCTGCAGCACCTGGTGATGAGAATGACACTATGGACATATCAGAAGTATCAACAGAATCAGGTTTTTCTGCCAGCCACTCATCTCCTTCCAAAGGTTCTGAAGGGGCTGCAAATGCTGACTTTGCCAGTACCATCTGTAAGTGTATTTAATATAATCTCCAAATGCTGCAGTCTGTTCACATATTAAATACAGTGTTTGACCACTGGTTCATTATCAGAAAAGAATCAAATCATTCTGATACTCATTTGACATAAATTCAGATGGATGTATATATATTTTTAAATCTACTCTTCACTTAGTCTTTATGGCACCTAAATTTGAACTACAATTGAGAAATTGGGTCCCTCATCTGGATTTTACTTGTAATTTAATCACAGTAACTTGAAGTATATTCATATTCAGAAATGTATTCTGACCATCTTGATTTGTGTTAACTGATGGTTTAGGATTTATAGAAATTATAGCTCCAATAAAAAAATAAAATACAGTAAAGGAAAAGGAATTTTTCTAAGCTATGTCTCATTTGTGGAAACACTCAAGCGCATATGGTGTAAGTTCTCTCAATATCTTCTCTTCACAGTATATGCTGGATTAGTGGAAGTACCTGAGAAATCATCTAAGCAACCCTCTGAAGTCAATGTTAACCCACTCTATGTCTCTCCTGAATGTAAAAAACCACTAATCCACATGTATGAAAAGGAATTCACTTCTGAGATCTGCTGTGGTTCTTTGTGGGGTGAGTTTTGTTTCTTAAAACTGAGTTGTTATACTTTAAAGAATATATTTTTATCTATATAGCAAACTTGTGAAAAATCATAGATGTAAACATGTGTTTGCTATTGAAAAACCATTTCCAAGTATATACATATATACACATACATATACACACACAGTAGTTAACTTGCTTATTTATTTATTTGCTGATTTATTTTTACTCAATGCAGTTTGCTGTTTGAATTACTTCCTACCCTTTTTATTCTGTTTTTCTTTACGGCCCAAATTAACTTGGCTAAAATATAAAATTGGACTAGGTTATGATTATTTGAAAATTCAAGCTTAGCATTTTTAATTTGGGCAGAATGCAACATATAATACCTAATGAGATATTACAAGAAATTTCTTCAGGTTCTTGTTTTTAAAATATCTTGAGGATTTGTAGAGAAAGTTCCTTGTGTAATATCTTAACTTGATAGACTTTTTCAACCCTTTGTTCCAGAAGAATTATAACCACATTGGTAATGCTGAGACAATATTTTACCTCAAGCGGGTCTGAATCATAAATGAAACAGAATAAATGAATGCAAGGAAGGGAAAAATCCCAAATAAATGCCAACCTCCTACCTTCAGTTTCATAGACTTTGCTTAATGTATGATTGAACAGGAGACAGAATTTTAAATTAAAAATAGAGCAGTGTAGCAAACATTATAGTTATGTGGATTAAACAATTTGGAAAAAAATAAGCCATCCTCAAAGTTCTACTAATATAATGTATCGGATAACAAGAAAGCAAAGTTTACTTCATTATCATTCCAGTCAGGCAACTACCCAGAGATGAACTTAATGTCTAGTAACTCATTTTTATCATTTGTGATTTTATATTTTGAAAAATAAAAGATTATAATATGTGTCAATGTGGTAGACCAAGATCCCCAAAATGGCTGCTGCCAGTGTCAGTCCTCAGGGGGGTCCCAGCTGCCTCATGCCTCTCCAGGGGGATTCTCTAAGAACAAGAAGTGGTTCTGACCCAGGCATCTTTCACACTACTGCATCTGCCCTGCGTCATGCCACTTGGAGCATGTGAGATTTTGTGCATGCCCTGTAAGAATGAAATTTCCTTTTCCTATAGCCCTCCAGCTCCCCTGAACATAAGCCCCACTTGATTTTCAGAGGCAGATGTTCTAGGAACTCATTTTCCCAGTGCCAGACCCCCAGGCTGGGGAACCCAATGTGGGTTTCAGACCCCTTGCTCCTTGAGTAGAACCTCTGTGGTTATGATATCCCTTTTGTTTATGAGTCATAGACCCTGGGGTGTGGGTCTTTACTAAACCACATCTCTGCCACTCCTTTCCATCTTGTTGTGGCTCCTTCTTTATGTCTTTAGTTGTGGAAAATCTTTTCTGCTAGTCTTCAGGTCATTCTGATACACAGTTGCTCTGTAAATAGTTGTAATTTTTGTATGCCCATGGAAAGAGGTGTGTTCAGGGTCTTTCTACTCCACCATCTTGAGACTGACCCCCATTTGAAGTATATTCTAACTTTACTTCAATCTGCTATTTTAGTCTTCTCATTCAGTCTATAAACAGTGCTTGTATTAGAATGAATAAAGCCAGCACACAAATAACAGAGTGTAGGAGTGTAAATACATGAAAGTAGAAACTAATTTTATAGGCATTTAGCAATATAAGTTTTTTTAATATATGTGTGAACACAGAATCACTCAATTTAAAAACAATTTACATGCAATTATTCTAAAAGCATTAAAACCATGTTACAGTTAGCAATGAGAAATCAACTGAATTGAAGGCTTGATATATACTAGGCATATTTTATATTTAATGGTAACTTTCAAAAAGGTTGATTGATTTTTATAAAGTTTGGGACACTACTGAAAGGTGCTGAGATATACATAAAGTTCTATTTGTGTGATGGCAAACAAGACACCAGCCAGTAGAATATTGCCAGAGGGTATTATCTTCAATATTTTAATGAAAATAAATTTGTTCTGTTGGCAGAGAGTTCATTTTTACACAGAATGAAGTTAACATTAGCCTAAGATGATAAACGTCACCTTTACATAGATCAGCACACCGGAGTAGCAAAAATACTAGTATAAATTCAATTATAAAAATGTAATCTGAGCTAATATAGCACTTTTCTTTTCATATATGAACAGGAGTGAATTTGCTGTTGGGAACTCGATCAAATCTGTATCTGATGGACAGAAGCGGAAAGGCAGACATTACTAAACTTATAAAGCGAAGACCATTCCGTCAAATTCAAGTTGTAGAGCCCCTCAATTTGCTGATTACCATCTCCGGTTTGTTTAAGAACTAAAATTAACTGAGTAATTATGCAGATAAATTAGGTTTCAAACTGGGCTAAAGACTCTCTCAAGTGAAAGTATTCATAGGAAAGCACTATAAATATACATTTTAATTGGGACACCAGGCTTTCCTACTTGTATTTTCTTACCTATTTACAATTTAAACTTCTGACTCTCCTTTGGTGTCTGGATATTTGATTGTAATGTACCTGTCCAAGGTCAGTGACAAGAAAAACCATGCCATTTGCATCCTTTCACGTCTTTTCTGAGTAGCCACCTACATCTTCACAACTCACAGCTTCACCCACCCATGCACACACGACCACACTAACCACCACTATATACCTTTCTTGTGTTAGAAGCAACAAAGAACAAAAAGGACAATAATTGGATAAAAATGAGACTCTGTTGTCTCTGCCACAGCTGTATAATAAGGGCCTACAGATAGGACTAGTAACAAGAATGGATCCCCTAAGATCTCTCCATTCTTCCCACATAGTAGTTGAACTTCTTAGTTTTGGTCAGTCAGATCCTGAACCTTGAAATATGAGAGACCAAGTATATGGATGTTAATAATTATTGTGATTACTAAACAGTACTTGGTATCAGGAAAGCACTAACATTAATGCTGACTTTAGGCAAAAAAATGACTGTTGAAAGATTAGGAAAAACTTTTTAAATGGTTCGACTGTAGAATAAAATTATGCTAATCACAGTAATTTTATGTGTGTATATACTTCCTGTCTGTACCTAATAACGATATTGCACATTAATTAATGATTATGTATAGTCCTAAATATGATTAACTTTGCTTTAAATTTTGGTTAGAGAAATCCTCTACAGATATGCTAAAGTGTCATGATTTTTTGGTCATTCATTTATAATTGCTTGAGGCACACAGAAGCAACATTTAGTTTTTGAAAACATCTGGGTGGCTTACAGACTGCACATCTGGATAACAGATTTCTTTACGTTTTATCCAGCTTTCTCTAACCCAAATGTTCTCTTTTTAATTCTTAAGTTTCTCTTAAATATGGATTATTTTTGCATCAAATAGTACTGAGAATGTCAGTATAGAAAGATATCTAATAGTTTGGATTTCAATTTTATTTTACCATTTGAGAATAGAATGGCAATAGATATAGATGCTTGAATTCTAACACTGCTCAAAAATGTTGTATAAAAATATATTTAAGATTAATTACATAAATGAGAATCTTATTGTTGGGCCCAGAAATCTTACAGTCATAAACCCTAAAAATGGATGTAAAGTCACTATATATGAAAAGAAATGTGTAATTTTAATGGCTTGTTTTTCTGAAGGAATTGTAGAAATTTGATGGGACTTACTTCGTAAGTATACTGGAATGAAAGAGTACAAAGACCCATCTCACTGGCCCAGAATGCCTAACAAGCAATACATAAGACACCCTTCTCATATATACACACTACCAGAGATAGCTTCTGGGTCTCTGAATCCCAGAAAGGTCATGACTTAGATAAGAAGCTAAGGTACAAATGAATGGATGGTGATTCTGTTGCCTGCACAGTGGCAGTCTTAACCTGTCCCAAAGAAGTATTTTACATTTGCTTCTACATAGGTAGCTGGTAGATACTTCAGCTATCTCTTGTAAGTGGGAGACTGAGAGGCTTTGCTATCACATTTCCAAACTCTAAAGGGAAAACTCTGATGCAGCATAGATTTTTTAAAGTGCATTTTTACTTTAATGAAAACATTCGGTTAAAAAGACAAAAATACTTTTACCATTTTTGTTCTTCTAATATATAAAAAAATAGACTGAATTGAAACATTGTATCTTTTCTTATCAGGCCATAAGAACAGACTTCGGGTGTATCATTTGACCTGGCTGAGAAACAAGATTTTGAATGATGATCCAGAAAGTAAAAGAAGACAAGAGGAAATGCTCAAGACAGAGGAAGCCTGCAAAGCTATTGATAAGTTGACAGGCTGTGAACACTTCAGTGTCTGTAAGTCTCATTTCGTGTTTACTATAGCTATATAAATTTTGCTTCCCTTCATTTGGTAAAGAACATTATTGTGAAAGGCAAAGTAGAGAAAGAAAAGAATTTGCAACTTCAAATACAAAAATGAGTGAATTTCACTGAGATACCTTTCAGGTCTTTTATGTCACAATCTTGGCTGTTATTGAGAAAATATAGATTGACTGAAATAGCTATTGGAGTTAAGTTTGGTTCACTTTCTCACCTTTCTTCCCTTCCCAGTCACTCTAATTAGTTCATATGAACTGATATTTCTTCCTGCTTCTATCTAACTTCAATTATATAAATGGTGTTGATGTATCTTCAATAACCTACAAGGAGATTTATATGACATTATCTTTTCTTGGAACAGCAATAAAATAAGATCACATAATAATTCCTTTTTTTCAAAATCAGAAAATCCCTCCTAATACTGACCAGGAAACTTTACCATGATTCAAAACGAAAATTCATCAATTGTCTGCTGGCTCTCATTCCCACTGTTGATATTCATGAGTATAATAATTACTAAATATTTCCTATCTGATTACTGTGTTTTCATTTCCCCTGTCTCTTCACAACCATCCACTGTGAAATGGAGTAACACATCCAAGGTCTTAGAGTCCTGCTCTAATCTGTCAACAACTTGGAAGTAATGTTATCCAATTCTTTCTGTTTCTGAAGCAAATCCCCTCTACACTCAGCCTTTGTTTTCTTCTTTCCTCTTTACTAATTGCCTGTGAGGCAGAACTAGTGGCATAGGTAAGAAATAGCTGGAATCACATAATATGAGTTGCAGCAGTATATTTCTACACTGACTGACCGTTTTTGTTCTGCATACAAAGAGCCTTTCCAAGGATAGGTTTCCATATGTGTGTACATATGTACACAAACACCAATAAAGGTAGGAATGAGCACCCAGACAACTTAGGCATCAACTAAATATACTACTTTCTTCTAGTTTTATGTATCACTAATTTCCTCCAAATCATATTACATAAATGTGGTAGCCAGAGGTGAAAGATATTCCCAGATGTTAACCCAAAAGTTTATATAGCAGAACTGCCCCTTACTAACTTATCGAGTTTTTAGTTGAATAAGAGAGAGTTTACAAAGATAATCATCTTGCAAATCTATGCTTTTGGTAAACAGATGGACTAGTTTAGTCCAGTTTTCCTGGCTGACCGCATTCCAACCCATCCCAGCTCTCATAACAACCAATAACATTTGTCCTACTGACAGGTGAAACAGTAGCACCCTTACATAGGAGGACAACAACATAACCATACTTGCGTGGTATTTTCATGGCCTTCCAAGGTCAACAAAATAATGGACCGATATCAGTTACTGTCGTATATAAAAATTATTGGAACTATTTGCTTAACAAAGAATTCCTTTGCTTCTTGGGGGTTTATTAATCATGCTTCTTTGACCTACTTCTGAACGGTTTAAAGAAAAAAGAAAGCAAAGCTAGACTCAGAGAGACAGCGACACAGAATGAGAGAGAGAGAAGGAGAGAGGAGGGGAGGGGAGAGGAGAGAGAGAATTCGTATATATTAGTCTCAGATGAAGTCTGGCTAACGAATACAGAAGCAGTGTCTCAGCCAAAGAAGCGGGGTTTTAGCACAAATATAAATCTAGAAGTAGGACAAAATATTTCATGAGAGCCAGAAGGTCTAGCCAAGAGCAAGCATATACTTTTTATATTTTTTTCTCCTTTTTAATAAAAAAATGCTCTATTGAAATAATTTACATATCATAAAATACACCCCATTAAAGTATACAATTAAAGGCTTTAGGGTATGTTTATAGAGTTGTGTAACCATCACCATGATCTAATTTTCATCATTCCAGAAAGAAACCTCATGGCCATTAGCAGTCACTCCATATTTTATTCCTCTTACCTTATTCCCCCCATAGTCCTAAGTACCTACTGATCTACTTTCTTTGCTGTGGATTTGTCTTTTTTCCACGATTTATTTAAATGGAATTATACATTATGTGGTCTTTCGTGACAAGCTTCTGTCACTTAGCATAATGTTTTCAAGGTTCATCCATGCTGTAACCTATTCAACATGTATCAGTATTCCTTTTTATTGCTGAATAGTATTGCATTGTATATATATATATATATATATATATATATATATATATATATATCACCTTTTGTTTATCCAGTTTTGTATACATCCATTGTTTTATACGTTTGCACTTTTTCCACTTTTTGGCTATTAGGACTAATTCTGCTATGAACATTTTCATACATGTCTTTGTACATTGGAGTGAATATTTTCTTTTCTCTTAGATAGTACTGCCAGAATATTTTTAAAAGTGACTGACAGAACTGTTTTACATTGCCATAAGTATGAAAGCTCCATTTTTCTCTTCATTCTTACCAACACCTGTAAATGTCAGTCTTTTGATCCTAGCCATCCAAGTGAGTGTAACGTGGCATCACATTATAGTTTTGATTTGCACTTCCCTGATGAATAATGTTGTTGAGCATCTTTTCAAGTGTTTGTTGATCATTTGTATATCTTCCTTGGCTTATTTATTTTTTTGTTGTTGAGTTGTAAGTATTCTTTATATATTCTGGACATTAGACCTTTATCAGATATATGATTTGCAGATATTTATTCCCATTCCATACTTTGTCTTTTCACTTTCTTGATAGTGTCCTTTGATACATAGAAGTATTAATTTTAATGAAACCCAATTTATCTGTTTCTTTCTTTTGTCGCTTATGCTTTTGGTGTCAAATATAAGAATCTATTGCCATGAAGGTTTCTTCCTATATTTACTTCTAAGAGTTTCATAGTTTCAACTCTTACATTTAGGTCTTTGATCCATTTCAAGTTATTTTTTATATATGGATTGAGGTAGGAGGTCCAATTCATTTTTTTGTACTTGGATATTCAGTTGTCGCAGTACCATTTGATGAAGACATTATTCTTTCCTTATTGAATAGTCCTGGCACCACTGACCATAAATGAATGGCTTTACTTGTAGACTCTCAATTCTACTCCATTGATCTATATGCCTGTCCTTAGGTCAGTACTACACTGTTTTGATTACTGTAGCTTGTAGTAAGTTTAGAAATTGGGAACCGTGAGTCCTCCAACTTTGTTTTTCATTTTCAAGATTGTTTTGGCTATTTGGAACCTCTTCCAATTCCAAGTGAATTTTAATCAGCATTTCCATCTATGCATAGGGGTGCATTGGGACTTTAATAGAGATTGCAATGAATCTGTAGATCACTTTGGATAGTACTGACCTCTTAAGGTCAGTACTGCTGACTGCTGATGATTTTTAATCACATCTCTCATTTAACAATGTTAAGTCTACCCGTCCATGAACAGAGGAAGTATTTCCATTTATTTAGGTCTTCTTTAATTTCTTTCAGCAATTTTCTGTAGTTTTCAGTGCACAATTTAGAGTGTTCTTAAAGGCTAATGCATACACTCCATAAAGCTATACAGTATTTTTGTCACCTTCTATTGGGAATCAAATTGTAACCAAATAACTTTTCTAAAATAAATGATCTATGGTCTTACATTGTTATTATGACATTTTCAACAACAAACACAAATACTTGAGTGTTCTTGTTAACTCTGTGGCATCGTTACTTCTTTGTATTTTATCACTGTAGTGCAACATGAAGAAACAACATATATTGCAATTGCTTTGAAATCATCAATTCACCTGTATGCATGGGCACCAAAGTCCTTTGATGAAAGCACTGCCATTAAAGTGAGTGGTCTCCTTTTCCTTTGGTTTTTCTTTTGAGAAATTGTAAACAGAACAGTATTTGGAATAGAGTAGCAGAAATATATACCATTCTTCTACAATTAATGTAATTTAAATATACCATGTCAATAATTATCATTTAACCCTTTTTTAGATAATTCACAGGCACCACACCAAGGGAGAGTGTGAGGGAAATCCCTGACCCCTCCCCTTAAAGGACCTCCCCACCAGCTCCTCACTCCCAATTCCTGTAGTCAACATGAAGACCTTCTCTTCTAAAGCCACAAACACAAGCTTTGGGTGCCACCCCAATGACTTGAAGCTGAGAAAGTCCCTGTTCTCTCTTAGTGGGGGGTGGAGAGCAGAGGGAAGGTAAGGAAAGGTGTGACAATGGTAAAGGGGGAAACCTCTACCATTGTAGAGGAATGGTAGAGGAATGAACCTGGAAGAGGAATGAAGGAAGAGAAAGGCTTTGCTCTAATTACCAGGGCTACAGTAGATGGGGGTGGGGAGGAAAGGATGGCTCTATATTCCTTCCAAGCTGGATCTCTAAACACATTTTTCTCTAGAACTATTACAAGGAATGGTGGTTAGGCTTATTTGGATTATGAGTACTGTTTCCACCCTTATTATGGTTTAATTGAACTTCTATGGATCAGCCTCTTAAGGTAACCATTTAGTGTCCCAAACAATTAAGTTGCTGATGATTTTTAATCACATCTCATAAACTAGGGACTATTTTTATCTTCATTATCTTTTTATAATGCTCCAGAATTCAACATAAATAAGATTATTTTGTATTTATTCTATAGTAATAAGGACTGATTAATGAGCTGGCAATATTACATAGAGTCCAGTAGCTCCTAACCTGGGATATACATAAGAATCATCTGGAGCATTTGTTAAAAGTTTAGATCTCAGACCCAACTCCAGGCCAAATTAGTAGGTCTGAAGTGGAGCCTGGGAATCTATATTTTTAGCAAACAACCCAGGAGATTTTGAACTGGTTGGTCCCTGGACAAGTTTTTACAAAGCACTGATAGGGATACATCATGATAGACCCCAACAACATATTCGTGAAATACTATTGTATCTTAGGTCAGGATCTGATTACGTGGTATATTTTGTAGGCCAAAACATCACATGTATACAATAAAGATGGGTTAATATCTATGACTACTCCTCAATGTCTATTTGTACAATAAATATGTTCTTTTATAAATAGCACAGACTACTATATAGATAGTCTGGGTCTGTCCTGACACAAATCACATCCCTGATCTGATCTCCCTAAATTGGGCCTTGGGTCAGCTGTCAGTATTTGGATATGGGTTTGTTCTTGGGTGTCTGCTGATTGGTCAGAGCTGCCTGGTATGGAGCTGGAAAGCAAAGAAGGTAAGTACCAACAGTCTGTGTAGCCTGATACACAATTCCTGGTCCAAGTCCTCACTCCAGTTCTTGAATCCCACCTCATGACTACAGTGTGGTGAAACCTGTGATGCCCAGTCCTCTACTGTGACCTGAACTTGGCAATGAATCCTGTTTGGCTTTTTGTTTCCTTGGACTAGGAACCATAAGAGCCTAGAGTACATCCAGTCTATGGTAGGTTAACATGTCTGGCCTTTCTCATTCCCTACCAAGTGTGCATTGATCAATCAGCAGACTCCGAAGGAGACTACATGTCCTATGAAGCCTATATACGAATACTGGCAAAAATACAGGCAGCTGATCCAGCAAACCGGTTTAAGAGACCAGATGAGCTCCTTCATTTGCTGAAGCTCAAGGCAAGGAATTTAAAGACAGCAAACAGAGTACAGGGCCATACAAGGCTCTTATGATTTTTGGAGATTTGGCCTTCGAAGGAAAACTCAATATTTAGAACCTGAATATAATCATTCTTATTGTAATAACAGACCTAAGAAAAGTTATAATACATAGGTCTCTAAATATATTATGTAACTTTAAAAATAATTCTGGGTTTTATAAACCTGTTAAACAAAAGGGCAGGGGAATTTTCTCCTTAGACAGAGTGTCATTTTTGGCCTTTTGGCCATATTTGGTTTTATATCTACAGGTGTTTCCAACACTTGGTCATAAGCCAGTGACAGTTGACCTGGCTATTGGTTCTGAAAAAAGACTAAAGATTTTCTTCAGCTCAGCAAATGGATATCACATCATTGATGCAGAATCTGAGGTTATGTCTGATGTGACCCTGCCAAATAATGTAAGATCCCTAGAAATTACTGTATAACACAATTTGAGTATTTCCAACTGTCAAAACTCTTAAAGTTTTAAAAATATGAGTATCAATATCTATGTTAGAACTGAGACGTAAAAGGTAAGTATAAAGTGCCAGAAAGTAGTAATGGATAAACAAAAATCACTGATGGTTTCTTAGTCCAGACAGCTAAGTCTGTTCCGCAGATAGATTTTGTCTGCAACAGTGATTTTTGTTTGTTTTTAAGTGAATATCGTTTACATTTAAAATCTGGATTTCTATTGAAAAACCAATGATCTGACAATATCAGACCAACATTACTATCTGGCCATAATCAACTGGAATCAATTTGTGCCTGTCCACTTTTAGATGGAACATACGCTATACATTCTCTATCCATCCACCATTATGTATTTATAATAACTGGCCCTTGTAGCCATATGAGTTTGCAACCCTTGCTTTAGTCTTCTGCACCTCATAATGCATTAATAGATTTTTTAAAATTACATCAGTATTGCAACATTATTATGTGTATGTCCTTTCTTTATCCAGATTGTTGTACTTTAACTGTGATATATAGCAAATTATCATAAAGTATTCTCTTACAGTATAAGTTATACTTAGAATTTCTGATCAAAGATTCAGCATTTTAAAAGCTAATGCACATCAACTCTTAACTCAAATAATTATAAATATGAAAATATGGCACAGCATCTAAAATATGGATAGTTGTAAAAATACTATACACATCATTTGTCTAAAGAGCTTGAACATAACATAATACCCCTCACACACACGTACCATACATAATATAATTCTCCTATATCTCAAATTTGATGGTAGAAATGATATTTGTCCTATTGAAAATTATATTAAAAAGGAAGGGCTGAACCAACAAATCTCTGCTTCACCCTTTTTGAATTCCCCATTTTGTCAATCACTAAAGTTTTAGCAGTTTAGCTTTATACAAAATTCCAGGAGAAAACTTTTATGTACTGCTAGCCACTGTAGTAATGTGATATTTTGCACAGCTTTCAGAATTATCTATATATCTCTGACAGATTACATGGAGCAATTGTCAGATCATTAGTGGAGAAATTTTTTAAAGTTTTGGTCATATTTAACAATCTAATTAGCTGATCATTCTGTTGTCACCTATGACTATATAGAAATCACTGTTCATAAGGCAGAAAATACTGAACCAAGCCCAGCCAAAGCCATTTAAATGAGTGTAGGTTAATTTTAGTATAAATATTATAGTACTTTTCACTTGGAGTGTCTTCCATCACTTCCTGCATCTTATTTTTTATGTCATGTCAGATAGCCTTTATTTTGAAGGTAGTGCATTATTGAACACCACAGTGTTGGTGCAAGTTTATACTTATTTGGAAAGTCATTTAGGAAGATTGAATTCTGTGTTCCACTTGACTACTAAGCAAGAAGCATTATTTTCTTTTGAAACGATCAGTTAACTATTATGGAAACAAGAATGAGAGAAGGTGAGGTTTTTAAAAAATCATTTTCTGGCCTAATTAGGATACCTTAAGTGTATTAAAAAGTAGAATTTTTAGCTAAATGCCCTAGTGTCTTGACCCATTAAAAGAGAAAGGACTCTAATATAAAGGAGGAGGGAGTGTCTTCTGAAACAGAATGTACTAAAAATAATACTTTTCCAAAAGTGCTAGATTACAAAAGCTGTAAAGCTACAGAATATCTCGTTACTTCAGGAATCATCTGAGAAGCAAGAGGATTACCTTTGAGGCTTTCTGGATTTACAACAGCCCAGATCTATTCTAAACAAATTTTTTGAGACAATCTTTTTTCTTGAATTTCTTTTTCTCTCTTCCTTCATCTCTTTTCTGATTCAACTGCTCATGAGAGTGCCCAGGGAACGCATTAAAATTGCTTTTCGCCTCTGGATCCCCATTTTAGTTTTAAGAATTGTTGTTGCTGAGACTGAGACATGGCCTCAAGCACTTGGCCTGAGTACGCTGGGTTTGGCAAGTATAGTTTCTGACATTTTTTCCTTTAACTTGCTAAATTCGAAAAATGATAGAGGAATTAATTGTTCGGTTTTTAGGGAAATATGATTAATGTGACAATATCTGTAGTTTAGGCAAGTTTTGTCACATTGTTTTATGCATCATGAAATTTAGAAATTCTTAGATATTTCTTAGTATTTCATCTTCTGTCACCTAATACATCTCTGAATTGAAGATATTTTAAGATTATATAAATTAGATAAGAAATTCCATATTTTTGTGAAAGGAGGATATATTTCAAGCAGTGAAGGATATTATAAGGCTGCCCCTTGTAAATATTTAAACTCAAGCTATTTTAAAGTTAATTTTCTATTTCTGATTTGAATAAATTGGTTGATAAGCAGTGATTTTGTATATGTTACTTGGTTCACACATTCCTTACTAAAGTATTAATTAGTGTGCTGAAATGAATCTGAAATCAAACAAGTAATGTTTCTTCTATCATTATACATAATAGTTTGTGAAATTTCATTGAATTTCTCTGTGTTGGAAGTATAGCTCTGCTTTTTACAAAGTTTTCTCCTAAATATAAAGAAGAATATTAAACAGTGACAGATTTATGACATAGGGAAGGCTCTTTTCAAATGTTGGATAGCATGCTGTTTAGTACTGAAATAGAAATTTCTCTCCTCCCTGCATTTTGAACCCCTTTTTGGTCTTTATTGCTCAACCAAGCTGCTTCAATGAAAGTAGTAGTGATAAAATGTTGGACATGTAAATCCTTATGAAACATAATTCCAGCCCCTGGAAATCATTATACCACAGAATATCATCATTTTACCTGATTCCTTGGGAATTGGCATGATGCTCACTTTCAATGCCGAAGCCCTTTCCATGGAAGCAAATGAACAACTCTTCAAGAAGATCCTTGAAGTGTGGAAAGACATACCATCTTCAGTAGGTATGTATAAAATTTTTCTCCTTTCAGATGTTCCCAGAAAAGCTTCTATTTCCTGAAGTATCACTTTTTCTCAAGGCATATAGTGTTAATTTGGGATATGGCATACTTACTCCCTTGTAAGGTAATGTGTATGTTTGTCTTATGCTTAATTACTTCACAAGGCTATCACAAAGAGACTGATTATGGCTGTCTTAGTTGTTCATTTTTAATAATCATGTAATTAAAATAGGAAAGTAATTCTTTTCCACAATAATCTGTAATTTTATTTTAAATACCTTTGCTTGCAGCTTTTACACAGGTGTTGAAAGTGTTTCATTCCATCACATTGATTTTTGGGGTTTACCTTTATCTTAGGAGACTGCCAAATAGTCATAAGAGAAGAGCAAAATACTTCCATTTTATACAGTCAATAGTGTTCTGTTCAGCAAGTAATATTTCTGTGAAGAATCAAATACAAACTGAATATGTGACATATAGGTTGTCACTAAGATTTCGTCAAACTTCATTTACAAAATTTTCATCTTCATTAGACCAGGACATCTTTTTTTCTTCCTGACCATCGCAGGACTGCTGATCTGGGCAATCTGAATAACTTGAAACTCGTATTTCTCTGAGTCTTGGTGACTACAGAGGTGATTCTAGATAGGGAACAGAATAATGCATATGAACAGTAAAAATATTAGAGAGAGAGTAGAATGATTTGCTTGAAGATAAATGTTCCTGGAAGTAAGATAAGGTTAATGAAGCAAATAAAGGAGAAGGGAGAAGGAGAGGGAGAGGGAGAAGGACAAGGAAAGGGTGAGGGAGGGAGGGAGGGGGGGAGAGAGGGAGAGAGAAGGAAGGGAGGGAGGGAGGGAAGGAGGACAAGAGAGACAGAGAGAAAATAGTTTATCAATAAAGAAGCCAGAAGCTTCTGAAATCTCTATAAAATGGCTAAATGTGATCCACATGTGGCTTTAAAGACCAGTTTGAAAGAACTTCTTTTTAATGGACATTTTTTCCATTATGGGATGATGGCACTTTGCACTGCATCTGCAGAATCCTTTCCTTTTGCATACATAATGTTAAGGATTATGCTGAAAACCTCCAATTTCTTCAAAAGGTAAGAACTCACAGAGGGTTTAAAACCATTTTGTGACAAGACGTAAACGCTTACAATATAATTGACAGATCTGGGACAAAGAAAACCCTGAAATAATGAATTTTGTTCTAACCTTTACAGTGGTTGTGATCAATATATTAATCAAAAATTGGAATAAGGAAATTCAGTTCAAATGGGAAACAGAACCCCTATATTTATGCCATATTTATGCCACATGTAGACAATCATAGGACTCAAAGAGGTCTTAAAAAGTCATCTGGTACAGTTCTTGTCCTTAGGCAGGACAACTTCTGACCTAAAACAAAGAGCTATTTTAAGTCACTAAAATTGAAAAGCATCCCTCTATGTGTAAAATAAATTATAGCACTATAAAAACATGATATTTTGGTCTGTGTAATAAGGGTATTTTGAGAGTATATAAAGATTGCATTATAACACTAATAATAAGAAAATCAATTACTCTCTTTTTCTGTCTAAAAACAACTGCTTTGTTATTTAAAACTAACCTAGATCCAGATTTTCCCAATCTACATTCCTTTAGATATAATGAATGTTTTTACGAATAAGATCTTTGCTTTGGATTTTCAAACAAATATATAGAGACTTAGCAATCACAGCAGGTATCATTAAGCGTTCCGAACTAAATCGCTGGATTCCACCCCATACACAAGCTAGCTCAGTAGCTAGGTTAAGTGGCTGATTAATGTGTTTTAGAATTAAGGTAGAAATTATGTAATGCCATGTGAACTGTGTATTTGAGCTCAGCAAGTACACTGTGCATTATGTTTAGAAAATTTTGCTGTATGCAGTTGTTGGAAAAAATACTGCTCCCCATGTCAGAAAATACCTTACAGTGTCAGCTGACTATATAGCTATTTACATAATTAGGTTTTCTGCTTTAAAGCAATTGTCATAGTCTTTATTGTCACTGAGTAATATAAAACAGGGTCCAATAGTTTAAATCTTAATAAAAATTTCCTGAGCAAGAGAAATGCTTAGCAGTATCAAATTAGCTTTAGTTCTATGTATAACATGGTAATTAATTGAATTACATTAGAGTTGCTAAAGTCATTATTTGAGCGAGTCATTTTTTAGCAGTTTTAATTTTGAAAAGTTAGTCAGGTTTCCATATATGTCACTTAAGCACAAGTACAAACCCTTACAGGATGTTGTACCTCAACTAGATTATAAAATAGAATCACTGTAGCTAGATTTGACTTTCTACAAACAGGATAAGATTAACCCTTAGCTTTTTCTGTGGTATTGGAGAATATGAATACAAACATTAACTGAGATCTAGTTATTCACAATGTTAAATAGTTGGTCACAATGGTGATAGTACATGGCAGGTTTGAACAACACTGTTGAGCAGCATAATGGCCAAACAACAGTCTTATAAGCAGGAAAAAAAGAATGTATTTACCTGAACTGTAATAATGTCCCTCTTAATAATCAAATGTTGACTGCGTTTATAATTTTCTATCACTGACAGAAAGATATTATGTTTTTCTGATTTTTAAATTTTTATTGTAGCTTATGAGTGTTCACAGCGAGCCACAGGATGGGGCCAAAAAGCCATTGAAGTCCGCTCTTTGCAGTCAAGGGTTCTGGAAAGTGAACTGAAGCGCAGGTCAATTAAGAAGCTGAGATTTCTGTGTACCCGAGGTGACAAGGTATAGTTTACATCCCCCAGTTAAAGCAAAAATAAAGCAAGTGATGAAAATTAACTAAGGAAATTTATATCCTTTTCTTTCTGGCTATAAATATATTTCCCAAATTGGCATACTCTTAATAATATAATAAATTAATAAAAATAATTTTGCAATTTGCATTAGAAGCATTGATTTGGTAAATCATGAAATTTGATTTCAAAAGAAATCATTTTCAAAAATGTAAAACTTCTAATTGTGTCCAAAGCAAAGCTTAGCCTTTATTTTATTTCTTACAAATTCCATTATTGTCTTTGATGCATAGTTCTTTTCATGTTCATATTAATATGATATTTTGAAAAAGAATGCTTGAGTAAATCTGCCTTCTATAGTTTTCAACCTAATCCAATAACAGAAGAAGGAAAAAGTTACTTATGTTTGCTGAACACCTAATTATATGGTAGAGTTTGTGCTAAATACTTTAGAAGCTATCATAGTTAATCTTCACAAGTGGACATTAGTATGTCCATTTCACAGGAAAGAAAAATAAAATCAAGATTTGGCAATTATTTGTGTAATGTGATCAATTTTAACCAATTCAGATAGTTTAGATGGAAAAATGAATTGCATGACATCATTACAGTCCCGACATGTTATGAGAACTAATAGCGTGAGGAAATAATTCTAATAAGACCAGAAAACATTCACATTTGGAAGAAATTGCAAAGGATTTGAATTAATATCAGAACAAACAGGGTAAAGCACTGGGCATCAAGAAAAGGTACTTTTTTGTAATATAAAGGGATATAATGGCAAGAACCAGTGATTGAGATCGGATAGATCTAAGATGCAGTCCCAGCTTTGCCACCTAATTACGTGTAAAAACCTAGAAGTTTGACTAGTCCTTCTGAACCTTAGCTTTTTCATCTCAGGAATGGGAATATTAATAACTACTTTGGGAACAATTCTGAAAATTATCAATAATATGTATATAGTAAGCATCTCACAGATTGCCTGGCACATAAAAGTGTTAAATCACGGGTAGCTAGTGTTATTATCATCATCATCATCATTACATCACACACCCTCCTAAGTATATCCATTGTGGACGTTGAAAACCTTAGTCCTAACAAGGATACCTCTGTTTGCTATTTATATTATTGTACTGTCCTAATTTTCTTTATGGCACAGACCATATTTACACAACATGTTCCTCTCTAAGCCGATTGGTTTAGCTCATAATCTCAGTCTATTGATGTCAGTCTGTTCCACTGAAACAGAAACTTGCACCAAGTAGAAAATTTCAGTGGCCACTTAAACACCAGCAACAATGTGAACATCTAAATAAGGTAATATTTTCCATATATTAAAAGAAAAAGGAAAGCCAACTTGAATAAAAATAGATTTTAAACAAATAGCAAAGGAGAATTGTTAACCAAACCAATCAAGAAGTTTAGCAGATGAATTCCACCTACAAAAATCTAATTTTATTTAAACTATATGAAGTACAATTATAGAATATGGTAAAAGGTTATTTTTTAATTATAATTTAGACTCCATACCAATTTAAATTTGTATTCTTTAATCTGAGGAAATCCCTTTCTGAAAAACAGTATGGCTTAATATTTTATTGGTTGGTGCAGATAAATTGAAGTTATAGTTGTACCTATCAAATATCAGTTTGCAATGTATTAAACATTTACTGATGGTGTCTCTTTCTCTCTTTTTAAAGCTGTTCTTTACCTCTATCCTGCGCAATCGCCACAGCCGGGTTTACTTCATGACCCTTGGAAAACTTGAAGAGCTCCAAAGCAATTATGGTGTTTAAAAGGTTCCAATGATTTATTATAACAATTACAAACATCATAAATATACAATTTGCATTTTAAATTTCTGAGATTAAATGAGCATACAGTTTTACTGGTAGGGAAAAATTAAATCAGATACTTTTAATGTAGCACAGAATAGTTTTAATGAGAAATGTAGCTTTATATATAAAATTAACTATAGCAAGCTCTATGTACTCCAATGGTGTACAATATCTTTTGCACAAACCTTGTAACTTTTGTTACTGTGAATTCAAACATTACTCTTTGGACAGTTTGGACAGTATCTATATTCAGATTTTACAACATGGAGTTAAGAAACCTGTAATAAGTTAGATTCCAAACAGCTTTCAAAAGAGTTGGCCCTGAATGAGGGGGGTTTTTTTGGAAAAAAATAAAAATAGCAACAAACCATATGCAAATTTGCCAAGTCCTATAAAGAACCAAAGGTTAGATTATGAAATGAAAATAATAAGGACTAAACATAAACCAGACTAAGGCTGAACAACCTGCATGCCTGGAGAAAACTACAGTGATAAAGGGGAAAAGGCCACCCATTGACTCATTGCTCCATGACAGTTAAGCCCACAGACAGAGAACCGTTGTGTTCTTTCACCCCATGTTAAGCTGGTTTTCTCCTGATAAGAAGAAAGGAAGAAAGCCTCGGATGCTTGATTTTCCTCAGAAACTCCAAAGATGTGCAATAGCCGTTTTTAAAAACCACCGAATAATACACTTGCAAGCCTGAATACAGGACTGAACTCCTATACACATGTACTGTAGAATAAGTTGTATTTTTTAATACTTTAAAGTAGGCGTCAAATTCTATCCCCAAAGACAAATTGGTTGATTTATCAAAATTCTTATCTGGCCAACAGTGTGACCATCAGAAGCATTAAATATTTTCCTGATTCCAGATTAAACTATATAAAAATTTCACTCCAGTCATTAAACAAAAATTACAAAATGTAACAGCAAAAAGTTTTGGCTGCTAATACTTGTGTTTTTCATGTTTCTATTTCTGTAATATCAGAAATTAATCTAAAAGTGATAAGTCCACATGTAGGGACTTAATGTAATAGGTTAAAAAAGATTTTGAAAGAAAATACAACTTTCATCAAATACCTAGGTCTACAAATTTATAGTCGTGAAAAATCATTCTAGTCCATCACTCCAATAAGTTATAGACGCCATAGATAGGTGGCATTTGGTCACCTATGGTAATTGCTACCTGGTGAAAAGCATCATTTCTGCATATCCATCCTCAATACCATGGTTAGTTCTGGAGCAGTAGAGAAGGAACAGAACTACCACAAAGTATACCTCACTATAATTCCTCTAGTTCTGCTTCTAAAATCTGAAGACGGTGCTAGTGGGATAATAATTTTCAAGCTACCTGGTTAAACCAAAATACAAAAGCAGACTATGTGTGATTTCATGATAGCACGTTATTTCTTGGCACCTTGGCGCCAGGAATGATGATTTGGATTTTCCTAACAACTTATATCAAGAATGTAGTAGCTCAATAATGAGAATTTAGGAGAACCTGAATCCATGAATTAAAAGTAAATGTGATTCACATTTCTGTTACTGTGACACAATAATGTGATCTTAAAACTGGCTTATCCTTGAGTGTTTACAACTCAAATGACTTTTTAAATGCAGTAGTTTAAAGAGAAAACAAAGTTTTATGTCAAATTATTTCCTTAGAAGTAGTCTTCATTATTATAAATTTGTACACCAAAAAGGCCATGGGGAACTTTGTGCAAGTACCTCATCGCTGAGCAAATGGAGCTTGCTATGTTTGAATTTCAGAAAATTTTCTCATTTAAGTAGCGTGTAGAATCAAGTCTTTTAAGAATTCATTTTTTCTTCATAATATTTACTCAGTTAAGGTTCAAAAATAAATTTTATCTTAAAATCATATTTTTAACACAGTAAGACAGTAAACTATTTTAGGAAGTCAACTCCCATTGTGCTCTGTGGCTGTTATTCTAATAAATATACACAATAGTGAATTGCATCTACAGAGGTGTCCCAAAGTAAACAAGCAAGAGACATTGCAAATGTGTAATTGAGCGTTACATGATAAGGTGCTAATGAGGAACGGAAGCTGGGCACATATTAAGAAAGGAGATTGAGATGTTGGATAGCCAACTTAGGAAGGACTGAAAATATTTAAAGTGGTTTGTAGGTAATGAATATTTCCAATTTAGATGTTAATCCATCTGGAATTTTTACATCCTTTGCCAGCTGAAACAAGAAAGTGAAGGGACAATTAAATTTCACAGTCAGTGCACAGTGACAGAAAAAATTATAACTACACCTCACCTTGTAGCAGCAGTACCTGGAAGCCCTGGCCCACCAGAGAAGCATTGAGGGGGATTTCTGAAAAGCCAGATTCCCGAGTCCTGTGAGTTGAAGCATGAAAGTTCTGGCAAGTTGTGAGTAGCATTGGGACAGAGTACAGTGTTATTTTAGTGTACTTTAGTTCTTTCACCAAAGCCCTTGTCCAAAATAGAAGGAATTATTGAAAATGTTCAAAAGCTAGAAAATGATGTATGCAAAGGGCTGACAAGAAAAGTTCAGTGTGATTAGGTCTCTTGAAGTAAGGTAAGAGCCTCAGAGGAAACAGTAAGAAAGGATAATCATTAAGACAGTAAAATAGGCAAAGCAGAAATCACACATGTATACATAGAAGCATACATACACAAACCATTAGAATGCATAAATTTTAATATTTTCAGTGCTACCAGTTTCTAGATAAATTAATCACTAAGTGTTTTCTGCCAGGACATTTAATTGAGACACTATCGGTAAAACTAGGAATTGTGCCACATGAATTCAATGGGATCTTTTAAGTACTCTTCAGTTCTTTTCAAAACTGTGCCTATTTAAATCAATTTATATTCAATCTGTGCTCTAACTTTAAAATTTATTGAAATAATCTTTGAGACTGCTAATTGTTTCATCAGAAAGTCTGCAATGAATCATTGTTCAACCTCTAAAAATAAAATGTTTTTAAATGTATTGATTGATGTCATTATTTGAAATACACTCGTCCAATACCTCAGAATTAAGACTCATTCAAGGAATATTCATTTCTTTAAAGTATATAATAATGCACTGATTGGGAGGTGTTATGGGTTCTGCCTATTGTTCCATTAGGAATTCTAGCCAAGGAGGGGTATATTAACCTGACTAAAATCTTTCTGCATACAGTGGTGGAATTAGAAAGTAAAATCTTTCTGGGTACAGTGGTGGGATTAGTTTTCCTCTAAATATGTGGAACTTTAAACAGACACACAGACTCACAGGGTATGGGTAAAACCTGAGCAAGTTTTAATGTTGACTTCCTTCCCATCCCATCCCAGTGTCTGTCCTGAAGTCCAGTGGAGAAAAAAGAGGAGAAACTTTATCCAAAAAATGGAGTAAAGATTTATAGTTTATTAACATTCAATAAAGGGTTTAGTGCAGAGTGATGGTAGAAAATGGAAGATAAACATGGAAGATTGTCAAGGAAGCCAAGTTCTTCAGTTGGGATCAGGAGAGGAATAGCACTTCTCTCAGCAGGTCACAAAAGCGTTAGAGGACCGGTCCCATGAAGATCCTATTGTCTCAGAACATTCTGGAGAGATGTTCATCAGACTTTCCTGTTAGAGCCAATTGGTGTGGTCCTAATTTGTCAAGTATGGCCAGACATTCAGGAGTTGGGTTACGAGGACATGACATGCTTGCTCAGGCTTTTAGAGGCTAAATTCAAAATACTTCATTATGATCAAATTGATTCATTCGGCTTGATACATAGGACCCACCGACTTCAACTACTTTAAGGGACAGTGTTATGAGCCAAGGAACAAAAATATCGTCACAGATTGGAATTAGAATGGGCAGGGTGATGCCCCAAGGCTGAAAGATGGCATTATCCTGGGGATCCTTTACCAAATGATGGGATAGTGTAGGTCATGAATAGAAATCGCTATTGGTAACTTTATCATTCTCAAAGGGAACAGTGGGTTTACAGACTCCAACACTGCAAGTCTATTAACAATCTTTTCCCAGTATAATAACACTTTTTTCTTTATAGGTCCTTTAACCCTCACCTGAGGATAGTCAGGTTGAGTGTGCCTGCTCTTTAATAGACAGCTAATGTAATAAAGGCCAACATGTTTCAAAAAACATTGTCAGTATTACATTTTATATTGTTTACAACCATGGCAACTGATTAAAGAAGAATAGTTCCTAAGGGAATAAAATTGATTCTATATGGATTTATATTTTCAGCAGCTAGTGCACAGCCTACTTTGTAGAGAAATACAAAATCAGGTTTGGGATTAACTTTTTCTTATAATGTTGCCATCCCATACATCAAAGTGCCTCATTTGGTGCTTATACAGCAAAGACCCAATAAAAACATGAGTTTAAAGGGAAAACTGAGTCTTTTTTTATTTGATTGTCCTTAGTGCTATTTAATTTACAACAGCCTGAAATGGAAACTCACAAATCCAATTGTTTAATCAGAGTACCATCTGGGTTCCAGTGACCAAAGTGTAATGACCTATTTTGGATAACTTCAAATTACTTTACCCTACAAACCTGAAATGTAACAAAGAGTAGGTCAAAACAAAACTGAAAGAGTGTCTTTTAAAGTTTTGTTTACCTTTAAAAGCAACACATAAGGGACCACTATGCCCCTTTAGTAATTACCCAAGGATCATGAGAAATGACAAAGGTTATTTAATAATATAAAAACAGCACAAAAACAAGCTATATAACTGTCTGTTTTGTACAAACATTTGATTTGAATCTGATTCTTTTTCACAAGAATGACTCAACGTTGCAGCATCCTGAGACATATTTAAGGGTCATCAAAGTTTGTCAATATACTATTGATCCCAAAATTTTAAATTATGTTCCCATAAACCGATATATCAAATTTCAGGCATCCCCTGAAGGTACTTTTTTAGCTGATGAAAGAGTGTGTTTGACTTGCAGGTAGCCA